GTAAGGAAAATCTCAGGAGCAAAGAAATACTTACGAAAGGACAGAAAAAATGAAGGGCCAGGTAAAGGCTGATCTTCAGTGGAATTAGGGAGTGCAGAATGAATAACTTAGTAATGAGAAAAGCTTATGGGGCTTGATGCACTAAGGTACTTATGATCAACATCAGACACATGCTGAAGTAATTTCTAGTCAACATATTCTTTAGCATGAGTTTACATATAATTTAGTTTAAAAAAATCTCTTGTTGATTATTTTACCCCGATATATTTAAAGTATGCCCACTTTGTACTAGCTGATACATTTAGCAGTCAAGTTCCCCAGCCTTCTGGTTTTTTGTTTTCTGTGTTTTGACTTTTCAGATATTCCATATCTGCATTTTTAATTTTGCATATGCTAGGAATCTCATTTAGGTGCCAATGTACAGAGGATAGTAATGAGGACAAGTGGCAAAGAGCTAGTTACTAGCAAATACCAGATCCTCAGATCCCACAGTGTGGAATATTATGCTTAAACTTGCAAAAATCTTTTAGAGAGAAAATAAGATAAATACATAGTAGCACTGATTAATGGACATAATGCCCAAACTGAGATTTAAATGTGACTGGAGAAGCTCAAAAGGTCTACTGTTTTCAGTTGAGGTAAGCATCTAAATTTTAAATAGGAAGCAAGTTGGAAAGTTAATTATCCTAATTTACATATGACCTTTCACAGGTTCTTTGGAGTCAGGATTTCAGCAGTATTTATTTATACTACTTTGCAAAATATCATTAGAATGTTTATGATGGACTTTCCCTTAGATTCAGGCTGTAGATCTTGGTTATGGGTGTGCCACAAAAAGGGCTTTACTATTAATATTTTTTTGTGTGTACTCTTAGCATTGCAATAAGCAGAAACACTAGAAAAGGAAAAGGAAAATGCACTGCAGAGTCCTGCTCTAGCAATGATAATAGTAAGGCAAAGTACTGGGAACAAGAAGCCAAGCACTTGTTTCTCATCAAAGTTTTCCAGCTCACCAACATACAAGTGAGGTATGAGTTAGGTACAGACAAATAAGGGACTCCAAAGGGACGTTTGCTGATTGACAAAGTAGGAGGTCATGGAATTGTTGTGTTCTGCCAAACATCATATAGAAGTGATGCATGAAGAGGAAAAAAAGCACAGACTTTCTGCTGAAAAAATGCAAAAAAGATTTAGATGTGTGACAACAATATCTACAAGATTTTGTCATTCCCTTCTCTAAATGTTTGAATTCTATTTAGACCCTTTTATTAACCCAGACAATGTTAACATTGTTAGCTATGTACAGTTCTGTGCACTAGCAAAAAACTTTCTATCTTCTGTTTTTGAGAGTCACTTATTAAACTACAGTGCTCAAGGAGAGCTTCATATCCTCCTTACCACGACATCTTTCATTCTTCCTCACAACTTTCTGACAGAAACAATCCAATTATCTTTCATTTTCCTGAGCTAGCTCTGAAGCTGTTTCTCATGAGATAAATGCATGCACATTGGGAATTCTTTGAATTGGACTAAAAGTTCCCCTCTTACTTTGCCAAATAGAAGGTATGAGCACTAAAGAGGATGAGAGAAAGCACCAATGGTGCAGTTACTTAGGCATCGAGTGGGGATAAATCTATGCTACAGACTGCAGTGCAATGTAGAAATACCTCAACTGTCTTGAAACAAGTTAGCTCAGGCACCGAAAGTCATTTGTCCATGCCAGGAGGGAGCACAACGTGGGCTCATTTACTGTGCTACTAACCATGGCTCAAAACTAGTACCAAATGTACTGATGTACAGGTGGCTCAGCAGAGATTTTGCATACACATTTACTACCAAATAGGCAATTTGGGCTGTCCATCTCAACAGCTTCACTTTTTCTTTACTGTCTCTTTAATGTCCAGAAAAGCAAAATGACGGCGCTGTGACAACAGCCTCTGGGACACCCTGACACAGGCTGTAGAGGTCCCCCAGGGAGGCTCCTGCTGCTCAGAGGGCAGGTACAGAGCCCTGGGAACAGCAGGGACAAAGCTGAGAGTCACACCATCAACGCTAGTCTGGCACGATGGTTTTTCCATGTGTTTTGCACAGACTTGTTACACCTACTGACAAGCAAGGGTGGCACTTGAATGAACATATTATCCATAACACATGACAAAAATAAACATGCTCTCGGGATCAGTTCTCTCCTCAGATTCAGGCACACAATACTCATTAACTACAGTATTACGGGTATTATTGCTACACTGAAAATTATGTGAATAAACCTAAGGGAGAAATTTGGCTTGTAGTATGCAAAGTGGTTCCAGTAAATTCTGAATATTTTAAAATAATAAATATTTGTACAGTGATGCTGATCAGCTCTGCTTTATGAGTTATATTAGTAACACCGTGCCAGATTTCAGATTTTATTCCTATTATGTATTAATGATTCCACATCCCTATTCTTATTTAATAGCTGGAGAAGCCTGCTTGAAGATCAACTTCTAGTAAACACTGAGGGGGCATAAAGAAAACTCTGGTATTTAATAAATACACTACCCCTTTAAACAGATACCACAGAATCTGTCTTTATCATAACATGATAATAAATGGGCAAGGGGGGACTGAGCTGAAAGCCTGCACTTTCTTCAGATTCAGTGGCAGCTCTAATGATTTGTAGCCATTGAGGACCCCTTCTTCACCCAAAGCACAGAGTATTGTGCAGATGTAGTGCACTTTCTCTGGCAAGGTGGTACTAGGCTTGGTACCATCATGTCCATCACAGCCCTGTGTTGCAACTTTCATTAGCACAGGAAAAATTATTCAGAGATTCAGCATTTCCCCAGTGGAAGTGACACCCCTCTTCCAATTCCATTTTCAGTGTGATTTTCATTTAAATTTGACTTTAAGCATAATGATCTGTGGTGTAGTGTTTATGAACAACTCCAAAACCTTCCCACCAACCCATGTTACTTTCCTTTCTGGTCACAGGCCCCAAATTTTCACCAAAATGTCATGGATGTAACTGATTGCAGACTTTGGCTAACCCTGTTCATAAGGCTTAAGATTCATTGCCTCAGAGAAAACAACCTATTGAGGTCTAGGTTTTCTGAATGCTTTTGTCAGAAAAATTATTTATGTGTACAAATCTCTCTTAATGTAAAACTTCTTTCAAATTCTTTCCTAACTCAGGGATATGCTGACCTGGAGTATGAGAAACAGAGGGCATTCTTTGCTGACCTTGCCCTTAGTTACAGAGCGTAAGTACAAGGCTGCTGAATATATACTTCAGTGGTCCACAAGCACTTTCAGACATCCTTGTGTGCAAGAAATACCAGAAACTTAATCTTTTGTCAATGTATCAATGGGGCTAACATTTAGAAAACAGAATTCAGAGACAGGCTTTCAATCCATATGAAGTAGACTTTTCCCATAACACAGCAAATACACCTTAAGATAAAAATCTTTGGATTGCATTCACATCTCCTTCAGTGCTGCATTTTGTCTTAGCAAAGGTCATTTCTCGATATGACTCTTCCATTTCAATTTTGCAGTTCCTTTCAGGACGAGCTCCTGACCTGAGGCTAATCTTTTTCAAGGAACCATAAGGAACAATTTTTACGGATATATTTTTGATAAAGAAAAGCAATTTGCTATTTTTGTGATTTGTTTGACAAAAAGTCTCTAGCCATGTGCATTAGCTACTTAAAAACCTCTCAGGTCTCTTGTGGGTGATTGAAAATGTTTCTGCCTTTATGTGTAAAACTTCACCAGAATCACACTGATGTCTGACAGAGTCAATCAGATATATAGGTAGAACTGGTTGGGGGTTATCAGCCTCATGGTGTCTAAGAACTGGTGAAATCTCCCAAGTTTTGAGAGACTTCTATTTGAGTACAGTTTTCTCACTGCCACCGTATACCAGCACAAAACAGCACAAAAGCACAAGTTGAACTGACTCTGAGCTACTGAAGAAGCAGCAGTGAGGAAGAGGAGAAAAGAGTGCCCATCAGAGAAGTTAGTGATAACCACGCAGTGTACGCCTGGGTAGCTCTCTGCTGATGAGTTTAGGAATGCTTCTCTGTGATGATATTGTGCTGATCACAACCTCCAGGGATGGACCTTTCAGGCACACACAGTGTTTTGGTTGCTAGAATGCTTTCAGCAGAAGTAAGGGTAAGCCTGAAGGCCTCTTTTTTTTTTTTTTTTTTTTTTCTGTAAAGAACATGTCTCACTTTCTTACCATATCCCTCTGTTTTCTCCCCACATTGGAAGAGAGGAGAAACATACATCATTAGAGCCTACCAAGACAAAGAAGTTGTTAATTATGTACTATTTTGCTGTTTCTATCTTCATTACAGCAAACATTCATGGGGGAGGCAATGAAAATAATACTTGGAAAGTGAACTAGAAACCTGCTTTAGACACATGCATTATTTCCTCTCTTCATTACAGAGGAGACCCTTTGCCTCACATCGAGTACACAGAGCAGGAGATTGCAACTTGGTGAGTTTGTTACTTGCACTCCAACACTTGGTCCGTTCCAATGCAGTCCCAAGAAAGACTTGTAATGTGAGACAGTTTTAGAATTTTAGAACCATGTTTGTCCATCTCACATTTTACTCCTTGTTAAATGCCACCTTTTGGTCATTTGTTTTGCAGAAAGCCATTCTCAGGGCTGGTCTTAACTATTCGCTTTCTAGAGCAAAATGCATTTTCCTGACCATCTCTCTGCCTGCCAATCCTATCAAGATATCAGAAGCCAGAAAACACCTGGAGCCTATAGTATAACTTCTTCTGACTTCTAGTTAACCACAACTATGGTGGTGACACAAATATCACTTTTCCAAATCTGTTAGCAAGAGAAAATGCCCACTCGCAGGATGGAAGTTCACTCACAGGAGGTGGTTAATCCAGCGTTCATAGGACAGACCAGCCTTGCTTTTTCTCCTGCAAGTATTCATTGCTGTTATTATGAATAGGCATCATTCTCTCAAACTGCAGGTAAAGGAAATTTTGGAGTGCCTTTCCAGGATGCATTATTTACACTGTAAAAAGGCCTTTGATGTCATATGAAATGAATGCACATTACTTTTACATGGGTGCAGCATTTCTTCACTGGGCTTTGCATCTCCTGAGGATTTACCACTTCAAAAAAACCCCAAACCATCCAACCAAGCAAAATTAATTCAATTCAAAGTACGTTTGCAGACTTTATGTGAAGTATGTGACAGATTTGAAAGAAAGCAGAGTTCTTTCATATGTCTCTGTTTCCAGTTTCTGCCACTAACTTTAACAAATCTCAGTAAGCAGCAATAATTACACATTCGTATGATAATACAAACATAAATATGTCCAAATGTCTGGACTAACAGCAGATCCTCAGGATTGTGCAAGGTGCCACATATGCCCATAATAAGAGAGAGTCTTTGTTCAGAAAAGTTCATAATTTAAGTGGAAAGAGAGCCAAAAGGTGGGAAAAAAGAAGAATGATAAGCACATTTTATAACTGTGGAACTTAAAAAGCTAGAGCTTAAGTGATTTGCCTAAAATTATATGCTAAGTTTATGTCAGTGCCAGGAATTAAATCAGTATACTAGATGTCTCATGCCAGAAACTCAACCACAGGGCCACCCCATCTTTTTCAGTGGTTATTTTATTTTAAATAAAATCTCCTGTGCCATAGAAAGCTTGAGGGGTGTTGCTTGCAGTCACATAGAAACCCTGCATCCAATTCATCCAAGCGGTCACATTTTTATTAGGCTCAAATAGGTTTTTACAGCATCTTTCAACTGTCAAAGACTGATGGTCGTTGTCATGCTCATGATTGCTACCACCAGCCAACAATTTTGGCATGGGATGATGTGTGGGAATGTCATATTTAAGAAAATTTAATTTTGTGTTCTTTCCTGTTTTTCCCTTTTGTTGCCAACCTCCGTCATTCCAGTCCTTCTCCACCTAGAATTAGTCCCACTGTGGTAACGGAATAGACCTTTAAAGGAGTATCTGCCCATTTCCCCAAGTAGCCAGCCCCAGCAACGAAGGTTGTCTTGTTATGTAAAGCTGTTTCCAAAATTAGACCTCCCAATGGTTATCACAGCCCCCTGTGGCTGTGCCCTGAGGTCATCTGCATTACAGCACAACTTAATTGAGCGCTGTGCAATTGAACGGAAATTTGTAGCACAGACTAAATTCCCTTGGTGTTCACTCTGAAAAGTTGTTGGATGCCTTCAGTTTGTAGCAACATGGTTATAAAAATGAAAACTAATCAAGTGAAGAAATAAAACTTTCAGAAAACAGAGGGTACAGATGATCTGAATTTCTGTTTTCAAGCAGGCTTCTTGGAGGACCTTGAAATTAAATAGTCATAAAATGCATCTTATGGGTAAAAGCTATATAAGAAAAAGGGAGCATCTAAGACAAAATTATGGGGATTCACCTGTCACATCTTCATAATAAAGCTGAATAGTGCCACTATTTTTTTCATTTTTTCTAAAAAAATAAGGAAATTTACGTAAAACAAGGTCATTGCCTTTAAAGTCTTTTAAATAGCTGGCTCCATCCTTCATTATGAGGCTCCTTTCTGAAGTATTTCATAGACAGTGCTTTTAGCAGTTTCTCTTTTTCCCTCTCTGGACTGAAGTACCATCAGGTAGCAGCTTAATGGTTCTTTGAGTGATAGCACCTCCATACGGTGAGCCATTGTACCTATTTGACTCACTACAGTAGGACGTACTAAATTGTTGTTTGGAAATATCTGCTACTCTATTGACTTTAGAGGGAATGTAGATGATTGCCTTAGAGCAACTTAGAGAGGAGGGAAACTTAGCTTTGGGTAATTCATCACTAGTCTCTGAGACTGCCTACATTTCTGTGGAAGTCAATGTTTGGACACATGTAGAATGATACTTTGATAAAAGGGACCATATGTGCACAAGCGTAAACAAGCCTGCTCTCTCTAGATTCCAGTCTGGGGCTGAACTCTGTACTGGTTCAGATCCTATGCAATCCCACTGAAGTCAGTAGTATTCTATGGGGAAATAAGCCAGGGGAACACTTGAACTCTAGTCCTCCTCATTTTTTCCTAATTATTCTATGGAAACGGCCCAGTATCCTGCAGCTTTTGCAATAGTGACAGCAGCCACTGTTTCTCTCTGTTCTTTTAATTTTTTCCTCCTAAGGTTTCCCTTCCCCCCTTCATTCTGATTCATTACTCTCATACTGTGTAAGACATTCATACAAATGAAGAGAGCCATTACCAGGGACTGGCTATCACCTCCATAGCAACAATAGCATCACAAAAAAAAAATACAATACAAAAACAACAAAAGGTCATTTTCCATAGCCAGTATTTCCAAGAATGATCTCAATTTTCATAAAACAATGTTTATAAAATTGTTAACACCCTAGGGCCATGTCTGAACAAAAATAACCATTTCTATAAGGTTGTTTGCCATGCTGTTACTACTTGTTTGTTTTGCAACAGCTAAATATATTCCAAACCGCAGCTCTAAATCCAAGCACCATCAAGTCTACGAGAAGCTTGAAGCCTGTGCCCAAATCTGGTTACATATATTTTTTTTCAGCTGGTCTCTTTTTATACGATGGGCTAAAGGCTTCAAGAAGTTGGCATGTCTTTCAAATGCATAGCCCATGCCAGGTAATTTGAACTGCAAAAGTATGAACCTCTTACAAGCCTGTCCAGAAGTCACTCTTTAGTATCAGAAATGTACTTTTTTAGGAGGAAGCTTGCAAGAGTCAGATATAGGCTAGGCTTCAGTATGGAGATGGAGGGACTGGCATTTCAAGTTGTATCCCAAAGTAGAGAGGAAGGGAATACTTGTCTCGTTCCATCCCTAAAATATGCAACACAGAGAGGGCCACAGCCTCAGCTTTCTCCCTGGGATTTCCCTGGTACTTCCAACACCCTTATACCTAAGCAAGAAACACTTCTGAATCAGGATTAGAGTTTTGTTATATTAAAGGAAGGTGTAGGAAGGGATAAAAGAGATTTGCTGAACACAACCCACCTTCTGAAGGAAAAGTGAAACAAAAACCCCTTATACTTTGCTACATCCACCCAGGCATCAGCTTCCAAACACCAGGTGTCCTGAGTTCACAGTTTTAGACCATTGCCTATACTGAGGTATTTACCTCTCTGTGGATCTCTAGATAGGGCAGATAAGTACTGCTTTTTTGAGGTGGATCATGCTATGTGGCTTTTGCCTTTCAGGAGAGAAGTATACAGGAAGCTGAGCAGCCTTTATCCTACTCATGCCTGTACGCAGTACTTGGTTGCTTTCCAGCAGCTGGAGAAATACTGTGGCTACCAAGAGGATAACATCCCTCAACTTCAGGATGTCTCCAGATTTTTAAAAGGTCAGGCATTATGAACCATGGTTTATTCTACGGTTTCCTGGATATGTTTGTACACCACCACATACACACACAAACTATCTGGTAGGACCCAAGATGGTGAGCAGAGCTGATTAGCTGTAGAGTTCCCTCATACAAGATGAGCTGTAGTACAGGACATTAATACCAGGCATGTCTTGGGACCAAGCTGTAAGTTTGTGTTTGTTCTGTGAATGGCTGCAGTTGGTGTAGCAATAACCAGCTAATTGCAGTACTAGCAGCAGTATAGCCACAGCATCACGCTGCTCAGCATGACTTCCACACAGAGGTTTTCTGTGGGTTTGGCTGTATTTTGTGCTTCTATAGCTATGCTGCTAGTAAGATCCAAACACAAGTACAGGTACATACCTCTCAAGTCCACTTTTTTTCTGATGCGCGAGACAGGATGGCACCACATGCTAGAGGAAATGATTTCCAGGAGATCCTGCTAGTCAGCCAGCAGCTGCCTTGAAACAACACTGCTGCTTTCCATCTCTGTGGCTCCACTTGCCACACTAAACTCTTTAGTACCTACTGTGTGGCTGATAGGAGAGCGGAAAGACTGTGATGTTAGTCTGTAAATGTGTGAAGGTGTGGCCTTAGACAAAGGGCACATAAGATTGCCAGGCTGACCTACCTGCTATTAGCTGGGGGCTGACAAGCAAGGGGCAGGAGAAGAAGGGAGCTTGCATGATTTTTATAAGCCACACAGGCTGCATGGATTCCCAAGGCCAGATGCTTTGTGTCAAGCAGCTGATTTCCTATTGTCATCAAGAATGACTAAAGGAATATGGTCTTTAAAGCTTCCTTGCTCCTTCTCAGTGACAAGGAGATGTGCCAGAGGGTAGGACAGCTGATCACCGTGATGGAATAAATAATAAAAAGTATGCCTTAACTTTAAATAGATGAAATTTAAATACAATATTCAGGAAAGCAAGTGACCTGCTCCTTGTGTCAGTAGGTGATGCTAGTAAGCTCGAGTACGCCTTCTGCTGCTGAAGAGTTTTCTAGAACACTACCGTTTTTAGCCAAGATTAAGCTGTTCAATGACAAAGTTTTTATTGCATCTTTAGTGTAAGGGAACAGAGGGTTGGCATATGAAAGCATCTCTCATGAGCACCATCACATCCAGGTAGAGGAATTTTTCCATGTATGCGTTACCTATTTTCTCATGTATTTTCCCTTCTATTCAACTATCCAACTTACTTCCATTCTGTAGTAACTGGTCTGATAAATATTTTTTCTCATGAAGTTGTTGATCTCATCTTATCTCATTTACACAGTATCTGGCAGAAGGGAGCTCCAGAAATCATGTGATGTTTATTTGATTACCACAGATATTCATATTCTGGTCAATCAGGTGATTTCAAAAGTGTGAAAATTTAGGATAATGTAAGAATGTCCTGTCATAATACTATTTGTATTGCTCGTGTTGGTTGACAGGATTTTATTGCCTGGAGTCTGAGCCTGCTCATTTATTTTGTAGGTTCTGGTTCTAAGTTTTCTCTATGCCATACAAATTGTCCTAAACAAAAAACATGCAGTAAAAATAGTAATTCTGAAAATTCTGGTAATAACAGTTGGGAAGATGTTCACAGTAAGTTTCAACTGATCTACTATAAACATGGGGTGTCCAGTGTAAGGTAATTGTCTAAATTATTCTGACTGAGAATTAGAATCAGGCACTTCAGAAGCATTTTATTCAATCTTGGAATGAGTGTCTAAGGAAAATGGAAAGAAGGGCTCTCAGGAGCGCTGGTCCTACCGTCCTTAAACTGTAGATAAAACCAGGATTAGTTTAGCCTACAGGCTTTGTAAAAAAATATGCATAGTTGGAACAAAGTTTGTTCAAAACAACTGTGTTTACAGCTAGACACAGTCAAGATTGAGTAAGCTATTTTAGTCCCATTGTATTTGGCTTTGAACTGATATCTTACTTATCTTCAATGGTTCCCTCTAACAAGGTAATTTCACTATGCAGAATACTTTCTAGCATAGCATGAGGACTGACGTTGTTGCAAGGTCCCTTTGTAGCAAACTTGGTCTGAGAAGCATCTGCAAGGTCTGTAAAATCTGTGTTAAAAACAGCCTCATGCCAAGCAGCCACTGGGTGAGGAGTATGATTTATAAGGAGTTCTTCTGATTTATTACTAATTTGGGTGGCTTTTACGACCAGCATCAGCAAGGCCAGTCCTTGCAACTCATCAATCAACTGGGTGCTTTTTAGGCTCTTTCCTGTGTTAGAGGTGTGCAGTGCTCAACCAACCAAGCCTGAACCAAATTTATAGGCTATGATGTGTCTCCCAGAATCTCTTGGCATACTGTGCATGTACTTCAACTACAGCCTATGTGGAGATGCAAAGTGCTGTTTCTCCTGTCACTGGTTAGCTCCGGGTGAGCCCTGAACTGTCACGATCTTCCATTTAGGACATAAATCCCAATGTATCTGCTAAATACTGCCTCTAAGGACTGGACAATTCTTTAGCGTATGTGATGATAAAACTATAAGATGTATATAGATTAGAAAAGAATAGAACAGAATAGACTGTTTCTAGTTGGAAGGGACCTACAACGATCATCTAGCCCAACTGTGTGACCAATTCAGGGCTGATCCAAAGTTAATGCATGTTCCTAATGCATGCCTTTTAAACACTGACAAGTTTGGAGCATTGACCACCTCTCTAGAAAGCATGTTCCAGTGTTTGACTACCCTCTTGATAAAGAAATGCTTCCTAATGTCCAACCTAAACCTTCCCTGGCACAGCTTTGAGTATAATAAACTGTAGGGATGCAGAGAGAGGGATATCTTGTAGAGAAAGTGATCATGTTATAAACAGCCCACATAGCCAGATAAAATTCCATCTTCACTTTTACTCAGCAGCATCTGTGAACTCAAGCAAGAAATTCCTTTTGACTTCAATACAAGTTGAACTACAAGATCTGTTTAGTGTAACCTGGCCTGCTAGTGAGGCTGGTTTGAATAGAAATGAACTCTACATCACAAGTATTTCATAATTACTTAAAGGGAATTTAAATGGTTAACCATGTGACTGTTTAACATGGCAAGTGTTTTTCTTAAGGGTTAACTAGAAGAACCTAGGCACATCTTTCTTTCTAGGAAAGATATTTGAATTTAGGCATTCATTGTCCTCCACAGCTGGAAGAAATTACAGCCAGTGAACTCAAGCAAGCTCACACTACAATGCACAGGCCTGTATACATGAGATTTTTGGGCCAAGAATTAAGCCTGAGAGATCACTTTAGGTCAAAACCTTCTTTTCAACTCATTTTGATTTCAGAAATCTTTGGACAGTAGGTCCAGTCAGCCACACCTCCAATTCTCTATTGATTGCTGGTTTTATTGTGCAGTAATGTGATAGAAGTTCAAATTTTGCAGATATTACCTTCAGCAGATAACTTTTTCCTATGGCTTTTCAAGGCAACTGGCCAAGTCTGTTCCATCAGCAGACTGTCTGGTTCACTGACCTATATTTAAAAGGGCATGTCAGGGAACGTAAACTGTAATTTTAATTTTCCCTCCTGCTCCTCCAACATGGATGCTAAAGCAATATAAATTTCCCCAGACTCCTTCATAGTCCTTCCAAAACTCAGTTACTTAGGGTTTGGTTCTTGTCTGATATATTTTTCAGCTGGTGCAGTTTTCACTTCATTCAGACTCAGAATTTAGCCCAAAGAAACCAGATTCTGAGATTTTCACATTCCTCTGAATTGGCTTAGTATGGCATCAGCAGCAAGGCAGTACTCTTCTTGTGCCAGCTCCTGGTGAGTGCCTAAGGAGACATAGCTGGTGGTCTGTCTGTACCCCCAAACAGCCTGCTTTCTTAACTGGGAAGGGGGGAGAATAGTAAGCTGCTTTACAACCACTTCTGATTCCCTGGTTAACACTGATACCTTTGCACAGCATATAGACAAAGATATAGATATATTCTCCATATTCTCCTTATTCTCCTTTTTTTTTTTTTTTTTTTTTCTGTTCAGCTTTGAGGCAGTTCTGTACCTATTCTCTTTGAACTCAGTGGAGCAATAGAAGATAACCATGGCAAATGCTAACCACCTAGTCCCTCACCTTGTCAGGTGGAAGTATTACTTGCTGCTCACTGCTGCTCACTCTTTTTTTTTTTTGTCCTGGGTAGCTTCAGATGTTTCATCACTTCTAATTATTCCAGTGAAGCATTTTTTCCCCCTTTCTTTTATTCTTTTTTTCTTTCTTTTTTTTTTTTTTTTTTTTAAGACAAAAATGCTAATGGTCAGACAGAGCAAAACAAGAAATACTGAAAGAAACATTTAAAACCAAAACAAAACAAATCTTGTAAATGGTTTGATTTCTGGGTGGGATTTTTTTGTTTGTTTACATAAAATAAATTATGTTCCAGGCTTCATGACACAATAGAATATGGATAGAGAAGGGAGAATAAAACCATTTCTGAATTTTTTAAAAATGTAATTTTATGCTTTAAAAAAGATTAAATGTCATTTATGGGAGCTGAGAATGCAACACAGATTTTTGAATATAGGACTTCAAAAAGATTATAATTGTCTCTCTTTTAAAGCAGTGATTTTCAATTTTCTTAGCTTTGCAGACCACCAACATGTTTCCCATGGAAATGTAGATTTTGTATTCTGCTGACCATAGGACTGCTTATTTTTTTAGTTGTCTCTCACAGACCTTTTGTAGTAATGCAGGATGTCCTGGGGTAACACTGATAGCACAAGGTGAAATCACAGTGCAAAAGTATTGCATCCTTCTGTCCTGTTCTATGGACACATGCAAAGCAAAACATATATGATCACATCACTGGAAGGCTTGTGTTGTTAGTTCTAGACAAACATAATTGTGAAAAGAAAAACAGAGGGGAAAAATCAGTGAGAGCATTGATGGAAACTCTGATGTTAAATGCTTAAGGGCCAAATTCCAGCACCCTTATCTCTGACGAGGACCCGTTTGCTCTTTCTCCTGCATGTTCCCACTCTAATGAAGTACAGGCAGAAAGATAAAACCGATAGCAAGTTTTGCCAGTGCTGAGCCAGTTTATATGTTTGGAGCATACACTGACAAAAGAAAATGAATTTGAACAGTATGCTCCAATTCTACCTCTGGAGTATGTTTAACTAGGCACATTGAGGAACAGAAGAATTGCCCAGACTTGTGGTCCATCTACTTCTGTCTTCAACAATGCAAGGTACCAGGGGTTTCAGCAGAGGGAATAAGAAAGCCTGCAGGAGGGGACTAAACTGTAATCTAGCATCAGGGAAGAAACAGATGCTCTCAGACAAGGTGGGATGTGTCCCTTATCTAACTCCTGTTTTTCTTTTACATATGCTATACAGGAAATGAGAGACAGAATCCAAGAATTAATAGACTAATCAGGACTGAAAATTCAGGTTCTGTCCCCTGCTTGATCATAAGGATCATACATGATCTCAGACACATCACTGACATGTGGGACATAGTAGATAAATGTGTGCAAATGTGCTAAAAATGTAAACTGGGGTAGGCAGTTCTCCCATACCTTGTACCATTAGTATGTGAAAATGTTTAGGATGGATGACTAGGTGTTTTGATGCTGCAGCAATTGGACCCAGGGCAGTATAGGGGCGTGTTGATAATAAGAAGCCAGGATGTTCCTAGTGCACTTAGGTGGACAGAACTACTGCAACAGAGCACAAAGGTCCTCTGAAATTGCTTACCTGAAGTAGGTGTGCCATGTAGCTAAGCCTAGAGACACCTAAATTTGGTCTCACTTCCCTTTGCAGAGAGAACAGGCTTCCAGCTGAGACCAGCTGCAGGACTGCTGTCTGCTCGTGACTTCCTTGCCAGCCTGGCATTTCGTGTCTTCCAGAGCACTCAGTATATAAGGCATTTCTCTTCTCCTATGCATTCCCCAGAACCATAAGTTTGATGCTCTGGCACAATCCCATCCTTCTGAATGTGCTGGGGATGATTCTCTTGGGAACAGCTCTGGAGCCCTATCCAGTAGTCCACAGAATGAAACAATTTGAGAAACTAGTAGCTGGAGAGTTAGAAGGGGAAGTCATGCATGAGAGGGTGTGGGTCTCTGTCTCTCTTGCAAAGTTGTCTGGGGAAGGAAAAGACTGGAGAATATCTGGTTTAATCTTTTCATCCTGCCTTCAGTTACCATCTGCTGGGTTTTGATTCCCTGCTGTGAAACTCTCCCAGTAAGTGCTGGCTAGACAACAGCAATTACATTTCATGAGAAATTACAAGTTCACACAGTTGCTTTTATTGTATGCTGGGACAAAACAGAGGCCTTTCAAAGATGTTGTGACAGAGGAGACTAGTGCCCATGCCATCCCAAGTGAACAATAGCCAAGGTAGTGAGGGGGCAGCTGGCTTCCCATGGCAGAAGGGAATTCTCTGACATGGTCCCTGCAGGGCCAGGCCAGGTATGGAGGCAGCTATTGTGGAGCAGTCCTCATACTACCCTTTGGGGGTCTATCGGCTAAAGTCTTTCAAGGGAAGTTCAAGCAGGGCAGGAAAAGAAACCTTTATTAAACATGAAGGTCACTTGTTTTCCAGAGACTGCTGCCATGAGTTGTTGGGTCATGTTCCCATGCTAGCTGACAAGGAGTTTGCCCAGTTCTCACAGGTAAGAAGCTTGTTCTCCTGCCTGTTGAACCAACTGCTCTGGATAGCAGGCCAGATATGCCTCAAAGGCATGCAGCTCACCGTGCTTGAAATTCTATTTTAAGACTTGATTGTGCTCGAGTTGCAACCTCCAGGAGTGGTGGGCTAGTAGTGCCCCAGGAGACATACACTCCAAGGGAGTGGTGGTACCACTCCCTGTGGACATTGTACAAAAGGAAGGGCAGGCTTGTGGGACTTCTTTGTGGGAGGGCAGGAGGATGCCACTGGAGCCTCTGCGGTGCTGTGTGTTTGAGTCTTACTGACTACACTGTTCCCCTGGCTTCCTGTCCTGCACCACATGAACCTAACCAGCCACAGCCATCGAGCCCCAGGCTGGTTCTGTCTCTGGACGTACATTTTTATCTCACATGATACTTTAATTGTGTCCATCACCATGTCATTCATTAAAGTTGTTTTTCCTTTTACAACTCACCAAATTCTCACAGCATTGCTCACACTGGTGAGGAGTCTCCAAAAAGCAAACAGGGCTTCTTTGTACAAAAAGGGACTATTTAGTATGAACAGTCAGTGTCAGACCCACATGAACTCAATGACCTCATGTAGTTAAAGACTTTAGAACTGTGAATGTGCCTCAAAACCATAGCAGAGGGAAGAAGATAACTCATATTCTAGGCTTATCAATCAGCAGCCAGTGTGGAAACCGGCAATAAGAGCAGAGAGGTTACATGGTGGAGGTCCCTGTCAGAATATCTTAAAAAGAAAGCCAGTTCACCTCATATAACGTGGTTTCCAGTTGTATCGACTTGGATAGATGCCAGTTTCCATTTTAGTCATAAATATTGGTTATTATCAGATTCAGATGAATGGTATCTAAAATATCCTAGTGGGCTATAATTTATTCTGGAAGAAACCTCTTCAGTTCAATACCAGAACTGAAGACAAAATAGAAATAAAATATTATAGCAGTTTCAAAACTTTCAGCTTTCCTCTTTTCCCATCTATAACACAGACTATACAACATGGGATCACATTAAACAAATTTTCACATTTAACTTTTTTTTTTTTCCACAAAGTATTTTCACAGTTGAAATTCACCCCATGAAAATTCTTTTTTGTTCCATTCAACATGAGATGATGAATGGTGAAAAAGCCCTAATTTTGTTTGCTGCATGATATGGCTCCCGGGATAGCTAAGAAGAGACATCTACAGATTCCTATTGTGAGAATAACAATTAGCAGGAAGTACAGATGAGACTAAACAGAATCCTCCCTGCATGGATCTGACCCACTCATAAGGGTTGTGAGAAAGAGAATGAGAGACAGAAAGGTAATGGCAAAGATAAAACCCACCTTGCTGTCCTTCGTTCTCGTGCCTCCCTATAAATCTCTGCCAGGGACAGTCCAGCATTAAGCCAAGACATGGTTAACTTTACACAGAGAATGCTGAGGATTAAACACTCATCTAATGTGGTTCCCAGTGGTATGCAGCTGGGGGCCAGGGAGAGGTAGGCATCCTGGAACCCATAGAAGGTCATTTTGGGTGACAAAGACAATGAATAGTTCATGCTATTCATGCTAGAAATGATGTGGTCCTCCCCCTTCCCCTCTTTCTCTCCCTTGGGCTGAATAATCACGCTGGTGTAACACTGCCTGCTTGCTTACTTGCTTTAGGATATTGGACTGGCTTCTCTTGGATCATCTGAAGCGGAGATTGAGAAACTAGCCACAGTAAGTACAGATGGCAGTTTAATATTGGAAGCAAAACCCAAACGATTCACTGCATATGCCTTACTGTGCTCTTCTCCAGTGTCTCAGATTAGCCACAAAAATGGGAACATCAGCAGGATTGTCTCTTCTCCTCATCCACAGGTTAGGGAGGTGCTGGAGCAGGGGCTGGAGTCCCTTTGGGGGAGCCCAGAAACATGTGATTCTACCTGAGGAAATGCTTATATTTTTTTCTTTTATCAGAATATATTGTTGAAACTCAGTTTCTACAATTTCAGCCACGGGAGGGTCTCAACTCACTTTCCAGATTCATGTAATAGACTGGATACCCAATGTGATTCCTGCATTTTCTCCTACACATGATGCAGGGAATCATCAATATTTGACTCAGCCTGTATTCATTAATGTCACAAAATAGGTGAGCAATTTAAAGCAATTTGAGAGCAGGTGCTGTCCTACTGTTCTGAGTCACTAGGCTGTATACATCTGCCAAAACAACTCATGCAACCCCTTGCTGCCATCTTGTTCTGAAAGTGGGCTGGAGGCCAGATGATTTTTTTTCTGATAATGACAGCCATTTCCCAGTCTTGATGATTTTTTCAGGAGAGGAGAGGAGCCTTACCCTCACCCAGCTGGGTGAGGCTTGTTCAGGAAAGGGGGTGGATGGAAGGTGACTGTCACTCCTGAAATTCTTCACCCAGCCCACAGCCCCACTCATGGTGAACTGGAATGAGGCATTGTGTGAAGGCTATTATGGCTCACCTAAAATCTGTCTGCATGTATCCATCTTTGGGTCAGGACTAGGTAAGACTAGCAGTATTTTTAGAGTTCAGAGAGCAAAAGGTACCAGTGCTGAATTTTTTTGTAGCATCATCCAAGTCCTGGGCTGGTGATTTGAGAGGACTCTGTGGGAAGAGGCAGTGACACGTCCACATTTCCTCTGCAATTTCCCCTCTCTGTGTCTAGCGATTTTAGAGTAAGATTACAAACCATGCTTTTGCTAGGGTTAAAAGAATTACGGGTCCTGGAGAGACATTTTGCATCATTACCCAGGTCTTGGTGAGACTAGGTGAATGCCAGTGGTTTATATAGCATTCCTCTGCAAGCAGCCTTCCCTGACCCTGAACTGGCTAGGACTAGATCAGAGATAGGGTTAAGCTTAAATAATGATGGGTCTTGTATCTGAAATCATCATAGTATCATCTAGGCTTTGGGGAAGTAGAATAACGGCACCTTTTTGAAAGGGCTACCTGCAGTTCAGTGAGAACTATGAGAACCCATTTGTGAGAACAAAATTTTGTAAGCGTCATTCAAGTATTCTGAACAGTAAACATATTCTGGATTACTGTCTCAATCTTCAATTATTTAGAAGTTAGACATCTAATCTAGGCTTGTTGTTTAGGTTCCTTTATGGGAAAATTAAGATAAAGAAGAAACTGTAATGTATTCCCTATTCTGACATAGATGTCTAACATAAATTATTTTTTTCTTTCTGGAAGCCCCTGTCATTCTCTGTTTGTTATAAAGTGAATGTAGGTAAAGCTTAGATGACAAGACAACATTTAAGGTAACTAGAAATTTATTTAAAGAATCTCCACTTCACTTGTTTTTATGGTCCATAAAATTTGTAAGACAAACTTTTAAATGCCGTTATTTAATTCAGTCTCTGGGCTTCTCTAAGCAGGTGGATCCATGTACAAGAGATGGGAGATTGCCAGTGTTCATGTCATCCACAGAGTGCCGCTAGTACCATGCCTTGTAACCTGTTAAAACAGTGAAAGCTGAAAGAACCTCACTAACTAGAAGCCAAATACAGAGTATCTAAGGAAACACTAAAAAGAATTGTTCTTCCTCCCATGGCTCATTCTCCAGTAAAAAAGACCTTCTGCATAATGAGGAGATACTTGAAAGACTTTTCACTGTGAACTATGGGTTGAAATCTGTCAGCTTCCACTGACTATAATGAAGTTCAGGGCTAAGAGGTTGCACGGTGATTTGTAACATCTTCCAATGAACCATGGGAAAGGACTTTACTATTTTATTTACCCATGTAGTTATCATTAGAATTTTTTTTCTTTTTTTTTTGGGGGGGGAAGTGAGAATGGGAACAGTGGCAAGTTTTTAAAAAATGTGTTATAATTTGTGTGTTATATATGTTCAGAGAAAAAATAGTTTTCTTAAAATATATGACTATAAAACTTGAAGATACAAAGACATTAAGGAATAAGGGTAAAAGAAAGTTAAAGGAGAAATGAGAAGCTTAAAAATGAACTGCCTGTTGAGACTGTTTTTCACAAGTTGTTCTTATTACTAGCTTTATTGGTTCACTGTCGAATTTGGTCTCTGCAAGCAAAAATGATTGATCAAAGCTTACGGGGCAGGACTGCTTTCGTCTTATGGGGAGCTTACGGTATGTGTCAAACATATGGTATTGAAGGATTTCTATAATACAGTTTTCTGAACTCTCTGCTAAAAGCAAAATATTGTTTCCTCACATAAAACAATATGATTTAAAATACTGATTGTTCTTTTGCAAAAAAAATCATGCTCCCTTCCCAGAAGCTACTGATAGGGGAAGAACTACTGTAGAATTGTACCTGTCTTCCACCTAAAGAGATGAAATGCAATGAAAACAACCATTCTGTAAAGTATAGATTTGCTTCTTAGTGCTCCTGGCCAGTAGTAAGAACAGTTGACTTTAACGTAAAACACATGCACCTTTCTGAATTACTCACTAGAGGGCAATATTATGCCTATTATGAACTCTGCTACTTCGTCCATGCCATTGACATTCATGTACACATGAATCAGAAAGGCACTGACTGACTGGAACAAATAAAGTGCGAAGAAACTCTGAATAGCATGGACATTGACAAAAAGAAGATAAATGCTTTAGTATTTTGCATTCCTAAATATGTTTCAAAACTAACCCCAGCTCAAGTTTTACGTAGGTGAAAATCTGCGTACACAGGTTTGATACTACCCCAAATGCAGGGGCATTAGTTTTCTTCCAGCACTTGCAATTTGAAGACTTTTGTGAGCACACTCTGCGGTATATGACTTGCAGTTTTCTCTCTTGATAAGCTGAGAGATCTGCATGCTCATTACCCCTCTAGAGAAATAAGTGCACCTTCCTTTTTACATACCAACCTGATCTTGTGCCTGACTGCTCATGAACGTGAGCAGGTGTGCTAGCACAGTCGCAGCACTCATCTGTAGAACAGTGGAACGTATTGTTTTGAAAGAGCAGATCAATAAGCTCCCCTACAAGGAGGCTCCGGTGCAATGCATTTTGTTTACATGTCTATCTGTCCTAGGATAAAGCTGAAGCTGCTGGTTTTTTTTCTGAGAATCTTTCAGTACTTGCTATATTCACAGCCAACAAACAGGAAACATGGGCTTGCTTTTATTTACCTGGTAAAACCCAAAAGGTCCAATATCAAAGCACAGCTCAAGGCAACATTTATTCTACTCTATCTGCAGAGCTAATCATGTCTCCAACACTTAATATCTTTCATAGTAATATGCGGCAGAGAATCTATCTGCCCGACGTTACCTCCTTTTTCTGTTTAATTTTGACACAGATGAGGGTGAAAGTTGCATCAGAAATGCTCACTTTTGGTGGCTGGAGTTAAGTGGGCTAGATTTGTGCTCTCTCTTCTCTCTTTCTACCCTTTTCTTCACCAGACACCAACAAGCTCTTCTGCTTTTGATTAAAGTAGTAGGCAAGAACTGCTTGTTCACAAAACTGTGCTATGTAACAGAAAAATACAACTACATCGCAAATTCCCTACCTCTAACATTGACAATGGAAGAAGTAGCTGTTCTTGAGTTGATAAATGGCAGATTCTTGTCATTACTTTTATCATCAGTAGTTGCTGGCTAATGCTGCTGGATAAACTTTTGATACAGCTGGGTGCACCTAGGTCTTCATCCATCATATTACTGAAATTATATGGAGATGTGATAACATTTATATTCAATAGGTAATAAATTAGGATTACTCCCCTTCCAAAAGTGTGTCCATATTGCATGTAACATCTAAGACAGTCTGAAGATGGGCAAGTAGTTCATCAGCAATGTTGCTATGTGCCTTGTATAATCCCTATGTGAGCTCTACAAGTGCTGTGTAGCTTTGGGACAGCAGCTTGGTGGGTTCTGCGCACTTCACCTTGAGCATCTGAAACTTCTTGTACACAAATTAATTATATCCATGGCCTTTAAGTGATGAAGTTTCCTTTTATGGCTGATTGATTAATCTCACTGATTTTATTTGGAACAGAACTGAAATACAGAAATGTTTCCATTTAATCATTCTAGTCTGCATAAGCATCTGATTCTAACTTCAGTATAGACAGTGGTGATGTGGGTGAAGTGCTGAGGTCCTATGCCTAAGCACCTGCTAGCAACTTGAAAATGTACACCAACTGTTTCTTCTACAGCTGAAGAGAAGAAATATGTGCAGTTCAGTGTCTATTTCATAGAAGGGATTTTTTTAGAAATACAGCAGTGGCTTGGCAGTTTTGTTAAAGAAGATGAAGACTGGAAAATAGTGAGACTCATGATAGTTTCTTGCAAAGCTCATTTTGCAGGCTTAGACTGGCTCTTGAGAAAGCTCTAGATAAGTTTTGCTACTGCTTAGGAGAAAGCCATTATCCATCCCTATAATGATCTGCCAGTCTGCTCAGTATAGGCCCAGATGTGGGCTTACGCATGGAGGCCCCAAACTCAATTCTGTATCATTTAGCTGATTGGCGTATTTGGCACAGGCTCACTGCAGCTCATGTGATGGAGGAGACATGTTTAGCAGCACGTGCAAAGCAGGGTTTTCCTCATCACTGAAAGCTTCTGAACCAGGAGTAGTAGGATGATTTGGTCACTGAGAGGGCAATAAAAAGGCATGACTTCATAAGGCTAGGTGGTTGGCTACAGTAAGATAACATCTAACAAGCTGGAGGGGGTGAGCAGCAGTACATCCAGCTAATGTTACGTGAGAAGTTAGCATCAGCAAGGAGCCTGGGAACACCCCTGAAATGCAGCCTGGACTGGCTGTCCAGGTGGGTGGATGTGTGACTGTAACCCAGGGAACAACATACTGACTGTGAAAATTTGAAAATATTTTCCTCTTCTCCACAGCACCCAGTCTGACCAGTTTGAACTCAGCTTCAGGCAGTTACTTTTTGTGGATGAGCTGATTCTGCCCAAACTCAGGGCATAACATGGGAGAAAGGCAGAGGACAAGAGGTAGAGCTAGAGGCCACCGCAGCATGAGACTTCAACTTGAATCCGTGTTATCTACCAAATCATTTAGTGACAGCAGCTAGGTATCGGAAGGGACAGAATAACAATACCCAAGACTAAAATGAACAGTTGTAATAGGTCTGACTGCTGGCCAACCTTGCCTCCTCTGAAATGCAAGAATTCCTCCCCAACAGCTCTCGGTATTGCACTGTTTATTTCGCTATATTCTGTCAGCTGTTCTACATTATCCAAAATGCTTCTCCTGTTAACACTCAGCTGGACTCTGTCCTACATACTGTAAAATCTTATGGCTCATACCACACTTCTGGCAGCACTCAGTGCTACATATGCTTTTCTTGCAGCACAACAAGTACTTAACTTGTAGAGGCCTTTAAGGCCATCCGGTTTCAAGCTGAACTTCCATTGAAATCAATGGGATTTCAGTTCTGCTTCAACCCTGACAGCATAGCAGGACCCCTGTCAGGTTTTGAGTTTCTAAAATCTTTTCCCATTAGTCCCCAGAGCTTCTAAGATTATAAGAGCAGCCTTATGTTTGTGTATACCATCCATCTTAGATTGTATGAGTGCTCTCCAAGGTTTATTCTTCAATTACACACTGAAAATGAAGAACAGGAAAACCACTATCTTTTAGCATTTTTTTTTTCCAAAAAAAGGGCCCTGTATTAATTTCTGTACCAGTTCTGCAGTAAATTGTCCTATTGGTTAAAGCAGGCCTCCAGTGATGGAGAGTTCAGGCTCAGTTCAGTGACATATCTAAAAATGTTCTTAAAGGTACTGTCTGAATTTTTCCAGTAAGCAGATTGAGCTGAAAATCTTGTGCAGTGTCACCCACTCTTACCAGCTCTTTACAAGTACCATGGGAGTTGGCATTTGGATAGTGAAATAATGAAGGGAGCCTTCTGGAGATTGTTGAAGAAGAGAGAAAAACAAACAGGCAGACCTCAAAAAAGCAGTTGGTGCTGAAAGACTGTCCCTAGGTGGATGGAGTCCACTGTCCAGGCTGCAAGGCAGAAAGAAAGGTCTTGATGTTGACTAGGTTGAGTTGCCTTTTTCCTTTTTGTTTGTAGACAGAACATTTCACCAAAGTGGCCATGGCACACACCATCCTGGCTAATTGGAGGCCAAACCAGCTTTTAGGCACATCTATGGTGCAGTTCAAATGGTACTGGAGCAGAGCTAGCTTTAAACTAACTCACACAGGTTTCAGGGGCAAACTCTTCAGGAACTCACTTTGAACCTGAGCTACCTGGCCTTCCCAGGACACTGTGCAGGTACTAAACAACCAACACCGATACCTACGCAATCACACTGCCACCGCCTCTGCTGCTGGCTGGTTTTGAGGTAGCTCCAGTATGCCTAAATAAATGATGGATGTGCCCATGGTCTGCAGTCCGGAGGTAAGGGAAAATGTAGAAGAATCTGAGAAGAATGTAAAGAAGATCCTCTGTGGGACCGAAACACACACACATAGAGTATAGTGCATATTTATATTTTGGGTTTCAGGGAAGCTTTTAGGCTGCTTAACTGGCGTGGGAACTATGCAGAAAATACCAGGAGCATTCTGTCTGTTCTTCAGTGCAGCAGGAAATGTGAGATTTGTGACATGGGCTGGGGATTTTGAAATAGTGCTGCACACTACTGTGAGTCTTCTATGGTACTGGTTGAAAAAAAGCAGCATGGTACTATTTTTCTTCTAGATATTCAGATTTTGGGGGGTGGCATATGCTTTCCTGTCAGAGAAAGTGGATATGGTACCAAATCGTACATCACTGTAATACAGGAAAGATATATTTTTTCTTTTTTTAAAAAATTGTTTTTATTAATTTTATTGATTGCTAGTTGTCAAAAGCAGATTTCACCTGTGAAAGAACAGGAATTGACATTACCTTTAACTATTCCACAAAGAGCATTTCACAGCCCAGCAGGCACTAATTCTTGCTATGTTCATTCACCTGTTGTAACCTGTGTTGTTCCTGTTACAAAGTACGCTTTATCAAACAAGCCAGCGTACAAGCCTTTTGATCCAGAAGTGGCTGCAGTTCACCCCTATCAGGATCAAGCCTTCCAACCTGTCTATTTTATAGCAGAAAGTTTGGAAGATGCCAAGGCCAAGCTTCAGTAAGTAAAGTGTTTGTCGGTGTTTTCATTGAGGGGTGCACAGTGCCTTGAATCATAACCTCAAATACATCTACTACTACTGCAATAACCATGACACACTGTCTCACCACACACTTTATCTGCACAGTGGCTTTTTTTTTACAACAAAGTTAAACATGAGATTGTTTATCTGATAAAATATCTGTAGAAAAAAAACCAACCTATATATTGTTATGCCCTGTCCCATGCTTCATTTTAGCAATCCTTAATTTTGACAGCTTTTGAGGTAAATTCTGTAGCTGGATAGTGAGAGTAGAGCACAATAGCCCAGTTCGGGTGTGTCCATGCTAGTCCATACAAATAGGAGGTCATGGAGAGCTGATTTACCCAAGGTCACATGGAAATTTTATAGCAGACTCAGGAATTAACATGGATCAGCAAGGGGCTTAAATACAAGATTGCCTAGCTCTTCTGATTATATCTGCACAAGAATGCAGAATCAGCATTCACAGGCAATCTAATTTCTACAAAGCAGCTGACTGCAATCAAAATATTTAATTTGAAATATTATTTCAAATTAGCTTGAGGTGTTTCTAAATGCATTTCTTTGACTCTGTTAAGTTATGCAATAAGGATTAAAAAAAAAAAAAGTTTTTAAAGCAGGGTGTGAATTCTGCCCTTCATTTCTAACAGAGCAACATGACCAGTTCTGGCTGGAGGCAGGAGGTTGGTTGTGGAGCTACTGGGGAGCATGTAGGAGCTGAAATGAGGAATTTATTAGAGGAAGAGGACTTGGGCCAGACTTATTCCCTACTCCCCCTCATCTTTTCCCCAGAAGCACTGGCTGCTGGGGTTATAGCAATGGCAAATTAGGCTCCTCATCTTAAATCTGAAGGTTCACATTAAATTATTATCTTGGCACTGTGTAAAAACATGGCTGAGAACTTGAGAACTTTCTGGCAGAATAGAGAAGACTCTCAAGAGCACTTGACTCAGGCAAACCTGAAAAGAACTTACAAGGACAAGGAATATACCATTCTCAGACTTGAAGCTTTTTCCTATATTTTTTCAAGATAGTTACGCAGACAAAGCTGCTCAGAATAGCCAAAGGCACAAGAATCTCTCAGAACGGAAAACATGAGGCCAAGTCAGTACAGGGGCTTCCTACCAGCATGTACTTAATGGAAACATTGTCAAAAATGGCAGGCAACCATGTTTTTTCTTTTAATATACATGACAAAATAGCCCAGGATGCCTAGTATCAACAGGTTTTTAGCATTTTACTCAGGAAGAGCTACTCCAGGTTATTTCTTGGAAGTGAAGGCAGCAGACATGATGTGTTCCTGCATTCCTCAGCTTGTGGTTGCAATAACTGTGAATTGAGTTAATGTAGAGCTGTAAGAGCATCGACGGGTCTGAGCCAGGCATGCTGAAAAGCAGGCACTGCAGATCTTCTAGACTGCATGAAGTTCAGCCAGGCGAGGATATATTGCACCAGACAATGTTAAGGAGTAACAGTGAGGAGGATGCCACATCAGCCTCTACTCCCCAATAAGTCCGTGCCTACATACTGAGAAATCAGGTCCTGCAGGTTTTATACTTAGGGAAATGGCTTCCGAACTAGCAGCTCTGTTTTCTTCCCCCACAGAAACTATGTGATGAAGCTCAAGAAGCCATTTTCTCTGCTCTTTGACCCCTTCACCAGCAGCATAGAAGTTACAAACACGCCTCAGAAAGTCAAGAGGGCACTTGATCAGATGAAAAAGGAACTGAAATACCTCAGTTTGACCCTTGAAAACCTCTCTTAAAACTACAGCATTACATCTCACCTGGCACTGAGATACTTGTAGACGGTTCCAGCACTTGAAGATTTAGTGATGAAGTTGTAGTTGCATGCGAAAATCTTTAACCCACAAATAACTCTGTTAAGCTAATCTTTTCGCTGTAATTTAGGCTGCTGATTTAGCCACATTAATGAGTTCCTATTGAGTATGCTTCAATGACAAACAAGACCAAATTACTCCAATTTTTGGTAGGTGATATGAGCTACAGCTGTTTGGAGTATGTTTTTCTGTTAGTATTGCATCCCTTATTTTTTTTTATTCGTCTGCCACCTTTTCAAGTTATATGTCACAAACTAGCACAGTAAATCTTCAGCCACACAGTCTTTTACTTGCTGTTTAAATGACATGCTAACAATCTTTTAGGTTGGCTAGCTGCCTACAGTAAGCAGTCCTTGCAGCTAGCAAGTCATTTCTGCTAGTAATTACCATTAGCTATTCTGCTCACAAACTGTGAATGGTTCCCTCACAATGCGCAAATATACACATTTTGTAAGAGGAACCCTTTACCTCTGCTCACTATTTATTTTTTAGACACTCATCTCGTTCTGTAGCTTTCAAGTATGGCTAAATAATTTCCTGTCGTATCTGAGATCACAGAATATTTGTCCCTTGGCTGAAAAAAAGGCAGAAAATAATAGACCCATGATACTCTGTCTCTGTCACTTACAAGGATGCTTAATTTGAAAGGGAAATTTGGGTTCTTGTAAGGAAATCTGTGTATAATGAAGGATTTTTGAAGAAGCCTATAAGAAATAGAGTCCCATTGGTTTTTCATGGGATTCAAATAATCCTGGAGACCTTTAAAAATCTTTGTTTCTTATTGATGTCATGATGACTGTAGTAATAACCAAAAAGACAAATCTACTGAACATCTAGTGTAAAACCTAAGATCTACCACTAGCAGCTGTATAGCCTTGCTATGGAAACAATATGTCCTCCAACTTGTCCTGCCTCCCTCTCCAGTCCCTCTCTGAGGTGTGTCTGAAATTTATCTACACTCTTCATATCACGTTTCCCAGAATCCATCCCATAACTGCCTTTTCCAGACTTTCATATTCTTCTTGTCCACCTCCTTCCTCTACTATCCACAAGTAGACTAGTTCAGGAAAGGAAGAAGAGGTTCATCCTTAGAAGGATTCCCTCTCCTCTGAGCAACAGCACAAACAGACAGGGTTGATGCAGGTTACAGGTATGGCATAAGCAGGGACAGTGCGGATCCTGTGACCCAAGCTGGGTGACAGTGATCCACAAATATCAGTGTAGAATTATCCTATAGCTTAGGAGCTCTCCTGATTCTTTCAAACATATATTTAGCACGTGGCAGACAGCAAGCTTGTCCACTGCTATCCACCAACTGTCAGTGCACATGGTCTGAACTCTGAGGTAAATATGAGGTGGTTTGGCTCTTGGTGGAAAAGGAGTCATCATCTCTGCCTTAACTGGTCACTGTGGGATAGGAGCACGTACACAGAAAGTCACAACAGAGCAGTTCACATGCTGTTACTTCATACAAAGCTTATCTCACCGTAATTTGTCCACGTGCCAGGCTCTAAAGAAACTGTCTTACTGAAAGTTAATGGGATTTTGTCTCTTAAATTTTCATGTCTATAAGCACTTCAGAAAATTTTCCCATGGGCAGTAATAGAGTATTCAAGATCTGGGGAGCTGTTGTAACAGCTCTATTTTATTAAAATGTGGTGATGCCTGAAAAATTTGGAAGTATCTTGGAAAAAATGGCTATGAGACCCCTTCCTCAAAAGCAGGAACATCCCAAGTTTGTTCTTTTTTTTTTTTTTTTTTTTTTTTTTTTTTCCCATTTAAGTCCAGGATTCTTCAATTCTACTCCAGGAGAACACTTGCGTATCATAAAACCTGTTTTGCTAGAGATTCAGACAGAGCTGAAGGGAGTTCCTTTTTTTCCAGTGTTATTTCTGCTGTGAAGGAAGATGATCTCTCAGCATACTTTCATGGATTTAATTCTAATTATCCTGCTCATGCACACACACACACACAAATACCATTTCTCTTCAGAGCAATTTGTTTTGTTACATATTGTAATAATTTATCTGTCTACTTCCTGCCAATTGGTGCATAGGCAAAAATGCTTGATAGCTCACAACAGCTTGTTTTCAGAAGTATTATTTTCATCAATCAGTTGTTTTATAGTGAAAATTGAACCATGTGCTCCAGTTTTGTGTGTTTTCTTTTTCTTTCTTTTTAAGTGTAAGATAATGCCAGAGCGGAAGAGCTATCAAAATATTTTTTATAGATGGACTCTGTAGGCCATAGGGTCCTTTTCATGTATACCCTCTGAAACGGTTGAATGTGGAGTTTAGACTTGAGTTTGGCTATTGCTCAGAACAGACCTATATTTGGAAGAAATGAGAGACCTGATGGATTTGTTTTGCCCAAGGCCTAACACTTTCCTTGGAGGGACTCCAGGCCCGCCCACACATCCTTGTCTTTTCCAGTTCCTGTAGCAAGGAGAGAAAAAGAAACCATTTGGAGCCAGATTCTCCCACCCTTACACACGCTGAGTAGTACCCGATCTCTCAAGCAATCCCAGCAACAGTACCGAGCCTATTTGAGGTGCTGTACACAGACAGTAAGAGCAGGATTATCAAAACCTCTGCAAGTCCACTTGTTTTTTTATTGTCTCAATGACAGTCAGCCTGAATACACAGCTAGGCTGGGTTCCAGTGAAGCTTAGCAAAACTTCAAAAGTAATGAATTTGACTACTTGAACTTTTAAGAAGCATAAGTATTTTTTCCAAAGGAGGCAAATCTTTCCCTCCTTACTCAGGCAAAACCTACCCCAGGATAGCCATATTTGACACTCCCGTCTAAGGAGGTCCAAATTCTTCTCTTCTGATTCAGTGTAGTGACAAAGCAAAAGCCTTCAGGGTTACATCCTTATGAGGTACACTGCTCATGCTGCTCTTCCAATAGTCATTCTTTAATTTCCTCACAGAAGCCAAGAAGTACCTCATATTCCTGTCAGTCTAAGGCAGGGGTGGTGGGGAAGGCAGTGATGGGGCCTCCCGGTGAAAATAGTGTCACAGAGGAAAAAGCACCAACTAGTAAAAATATGTCTTTTTGTCAGTTTGCATTTCAACAGTTTCACATTAATCTTGCACAAGAAGGCTCTAAAGCCAAGTAAAACACATCTTGTGACTTGAAACTGAACTGATGAACTCCCCATGGGTCCTTCGCTTATCCCGATAAACGTATTTTTCCTAGATGGAGTGCGTTTAGAGCAAAATAGTGTATGTTATTAAATCTGCATTGTGCTGTTCTGTTATACATGGGAGAGTTAGTGAATTCAGTTCATGGGTTTGGGTTTGTTTTGTTTTTTGGCTAACCAAGCCTGTCCACTACCAATTTTGGTCCACCCTCAAGTCTCCAGCTGCTTCACTGCTTCCCTGCAGATTTACTAGGGATGCCAAGGGTACCACTGTGTAAGGAGAATACACAGTTATGCAATTCGGGGAATTTGGCAGGACAGGAAGAGGAAATTTAGGCAGGCCTCCCACCCACACCCATGAGAAATAGTATTGTATTAGAAGGCAGAGCTGTCATCCTCAGAAAGACCTTCTCAATCACTTCCCTCTGGTTCCCTTAACATTTTGACCTTTATACTACCTGGTGAATGTAAACCATGTAAACCTTACTTAACCAATTAAAGAAATAGCAGAGGAAAAAAGAAAGTAAAACCAAAGACCTTCCAAGAAAGGAAACTTCATTACACTCAGTCTTCCTTGCCTCTGCTGATCCATGAAGGAAGAGGCAAGCAAACAACAACAACAAAAAAAGCAAACTTCCATGGAAATGATAGTGCATTCCTGAAGAAACGTAAAACACAAAATTGTTCCATGTAAAACTACATGCATGAAGATCACCTTACACCCATCACTGAAATGCCATAATTTACCCAGTAAATCATGACCATAAATGAACCATGCACAGAAGCGTTACATGACTGCTTGAGGCAGGAAATGTAGCTACCAGGAAAAACCCTCTGGTAGCTTTGCCTTATGCACATACTGCAAAAACAGAAGGTTCTCTGGGCCTGCTTCCGTAGATATCCTACAGCATGGAGAAATTCCAGCTGGCAAAGAAACAGAGGGATATATACATACGTCCCCAGTAATCTCACCCACCACTAATCAGTTTATATGTGGGCTTTGAGATTCAGTTAGACAACATTACTTTGCAGCATTCTCCAGCTGGCTCATGGTCAGAGGTTGGCAGAAAGGGTTACTGGCTGCATCATATTAAGTATACATTAACTTTGGGTAACACTGGTGGCTGAGGCCCAAAGTGAAAGCGAATCTCTGGCAGTCTCTCCCACCACAAGCATTCCTCTGGGGAGAGAAAGTCAGACTAGAAAAGGAGTCTGTCTGACAGCTGGCAGAGCAAAGGGATGAGGAATGGAAAGGGCTGGTAGATAGACCTAAAACATGTTTGGTTTGCATACGCTGTTTCATTATATTCAAGAACCATTTCTCTTTGAAAGGGGAGCTTTTTAGCATGAAGGAGGAAAGTTTGGACCTGTACGAGAGTAGAGGATTTAAGGTCAGTTAAGACTTTTTCATTGTGCCTGAGGACTGTTAGCCTTATCCAAGACATTTACTTTCAATAAAGCTTAGAATGTAGAAAAGGGGTCTTTGGGAAAGAATCTTTAACATGTTATGTGAGAAAGCTGAAGCTGACCAAGCCTTGGTGCCCTGAAGGACACAAGAATCCCAAATTTTGAGTGAAAACTAGAAAAGAAAGTGAGCAGCTGGACAGGCACTGCCTCAAGAGCAGAAGACTGTAAAATTGTTATTGCTATGTGCTTTCACCCTGCTTAACTATTTTGCCATGAGTTTTCTTTTCTCCCTTTATTTAAAATGTTGTTTATTGATCCCTTTGACTTGTATTTGTAAATGGGGAAGATTACACCACTGAACATGAGAAAGTTT